CCCATAAAAGTATCTTCCAAATAAAAACCATATAACAATAAAGTATTTAAAAATAATTACCATTTGGGAATATAGAAAGTCCGCAGTGACAATGAATTCCAAATGAGGGACTTTATCATAAAACTATATGTAATTAATTGTTATTCTGTGAAATATTACAATTTTGCATTTCTAATCTGCTCAGTGATGGCATTGTGTTTATCCGGGCCAGTACACAAGCAACTGTCATATGATATGTTTACAATTTTCTTCAAACTTCTCTGGATAATTGATACATAGCAGTGTGATTGCTATCTGTTGCAAGTGCTAAATAATGGGTACGATCTCCTCCACAGGGATGCTCCAAGCTGACAGATGCAAGCCTTACAGCAATTAGACAGAGATGTAGCAATCTGAAGGTCCTGGATATAAGCGACTGCTCTGGCATGTCTCTGGAAGGGGCACAATATTTGAATTTATGCCTGCAGTCCCTGTATACACTTCACACTTTTGGCCTTGCTTCGATGATAGGTTGTTGGCAAAGATAATTACCAATTGGGAGAGCTTACAGCTTGATGATTCATGATGAACGTTCTTGATTTTACAACATTTACAAAACTTTGTTTGAGGTTGGATTAAAGGTGTTGAAGTATGGACTGGAAACATGTGGTTCGGGACGCAGTCCAGTGGTGGGCTCTTGTGAAAACAGAAGTTAATGTTGGAGTTCTGTAAGAAACAGGGAATTTACTATCAGGATGACAATAAGCTTTACAGTAAGGACTCTGTTTCACGGAGTTGGTCAGAAATGAGAAATAGGAAGGCATGTCAAAACACTACTTTGGGTCCAACCAGTCTTAAAAACCCTGGATTTTTGGCTCAAGAATCCAGCACCTTATCCCTACATTTCCAGGTCACCCATTTTAAGAGTGAGAACTACTTGTATATCTATGTCAATGCCATTATGTATCATTCTGGATAACATACAAACTAGTCTCATGTAAAGAATGACAGATTGTGGTTTCTGTTATTCCCACCTTCTAACTCTAATGCATGGCTGATTTCTTGGGAATCCATCTACAAGACTGTCTAATGTATTTTACATTTTTCGTACACCAGACCTGTCAGTGAATTTCCATCTTAAAACATTACCAGTTTCCTTAAACTGGTAATACCAAATTTCAATAAGAAATTATTTTATGAGCTGATGGTTTTCTACCATATCCAGGTGAAAGCTTACATTGCATTATCATAAATTATTTGTTTAAAGCAAACCAGAAGAAACACTGCTTCATCTTGAACTGTTCCCATTGCACTGAGGCAGAAAGTGGCGTGAGCTTAGATTTAAGAAGCGGACTCTAGTTTCCACACCAACAAGACAGAAACTAAACTGAGATTTTCTTGATTTTTCACAACAAAAATAAAGCTTTTTATTAAATGAGTATATTTTCACAGTGGTTACCTCAAGTATCTTTTTTTCCTAGAGCCTCAAGAGTTTCCAAAAGATTTATCTGTCAGTCCATGTCTAGAGAATACCGTTGTTACACTGCAAATTAAAACCAACAGTTATTTGTTTTCACATTTTGTTCAAATATTTTGTTTTTCTTATTCAGTGATACATATTGCTAGAAGTAGATATTTGCTGTCCCTGGCAATGATAAGTATTTGATTTAGGACACTCTTAAGGTTGTTCTCCATTTCCAGTGTAAAATGTAGGTCGGAGAAGCTATTAATTACTAATACTAGAGCAATGCGCTCCTTTCGGATCGCTTTCTCTAGAGTCCTTGTCGTTCTTTCTCGATAATTTCGCGTTTTACGTCTATCGGTTTCTGTTGATATTTAATACTTTGTTTTTCAGCATGTTTTTTTCGCTCTTCTGTTCTTGCTGGATAAGTTTTTCTACGTATGTTCTTAATATGGCCTCGTTTATCAATGTAAGTCTTCTTTCGCTTTTCCTTATTTGTTAAATAAGTCTGATGTTTTAGTTTTTTTCATCGCTGTTCAGGGGCCAACTGTTCCTGGTCAGTTAACTTTCTACGTCCAACTCCACCCTTGGACATCTTCGATATATGGTTCTATAAAGACGTATTGTTCTGTGAAAATGCTATGGGTAATAACGAAAGGGGATTGTTGACGGCAATATACCAACACAACAATGCAGAGTAAGCAAATGACGTAAAAAATTTTATTGTGTGATTTGAAATAGTAAAAATGTGACACTTTTACATTTGTCGATAGATTTTCTAGATTTCGTAATGTGATTATCGTCGAAGATAAGCCGTTCATCGTTATAACGTCGCCATGCTTTAAAATGTCCGTCGTTTGCAGTACCGTTAATGTCTACAAATTCGACCGCACTTCGCAATTTGTCTCATTCTCATTTCAAATGTGCGTAGTCCATTTCGAGTCAATTATTTATTTCCAAAATCATGTGCTTTTGACGGTCACCTACAACAACTTCGTTCGTTTCACATACGTAGGGTTGTTGACATTCCGTACACATCTGTTTGTGTTTGATATTTCAATAAGTCTTTGAAATTTGTCGCGTTCGTCTGTGGTATGTTCATTACCAATGTTTGGATTCTATAACGTTCTTGACGTTGACCATTTGTACGTGTTTTTGTATCTGCCGTGTGGTTTTCAAACAGGTTTTGCGTCTCAATAGGTAAATTTTTTAAAATGTAGATCGTTTCGGACACACTTTGGAAACTTATTCTCAAATGTGGGTTAAGGTTTTGTCGTATTGAAAGGACATTATGTATATTTAGAGGCTGTATGTATACGGTAGCAATCTCGGAGATCAATTGTGCACCATTATTATCGCCGTTGTTGACATTGAATATCATTTCTTTTAGACTTTCGACTAACGTAGCAGCTGAATGCAACATGTTTATTGAGGAAATCAAAAAGCAGTCTGATTCATTGACATTCTCCAGTTTCAAATGTTCGATAGTTGGTACAAATTCACGTGTAATCGTCGTTTTATTCTGCTTCACTCTCCGTATAGGTTGTTCATTGTTTTTTCTTGAACTTTCATATGTTTAATAACATACTTTATTAACATTTTAAAACATTCTGCAATGGTGATGTTATGTGTGTTCTTGGAGGAAGAAATCGCGTTTGCAGATTTTACTTTGATGAGCTTTGTCTCTAAAGGCTCAATACGGATGCAGCAACAAATGTTTATAAGAAACATAACTGGTATATCACAAGAAATTCACGGTAGCTCGAGTTATGACCTTGCTTAGGAGTATGCCGCCTACCCACGTACTCAAAAATGTTGAAATAGATCGAACCAGAGACTTTGTACATGGCAGTCACCGAGAACGGACAATAGTACTCACTCATAACGACGGCAGACTTTTAATTACCATGTGTGAAGCTACCTTTCCTTTCAGTCAGAATGCGCGATCTTGTTGTACAGTCTGCCCTCGTCCGCTCTAGTCACCCGAACATGTAAAGTAAATGGCACCACCAAAAGTTCCAATAATGAATTAGTAGGGTCTGGTGTCCTATATGAGGACACGAACTGCCAGTTTTATTCCGAGGCCTTCATGTTGCAACCCATATTTGATGGATTAACGAACTTTCCGCTCACTTATAGTCACATAGTGCAGCCTCATCTGCCGGAGTCCGTCTCTACCCAGGAGAACGACCAGAGTTCGCAGAACGACGAGCAGACAACCAGGACGCTTGCGGCCTTGAAGGCCGTCGCCCGAAGGAGTTCGCCTTCTACCCCGCAACCACTGAGGGATCTGCTGGAGGCCAGGGTATTTCCCTACGGCCGGCATCAGATGGGTCTTGCTGAATTGAACTTACCAGCGCCGAGACGGGTGTCACGACGTCCAACCCTGCTGCTCCCAACAGAATGGAGACAGCAACTGTATCAGGGGCAGCCTCAAAGAGCCGCCCCCAGGCAGCCGAGCGCGTGGGGTTCGCTCAGCCCGGGAAGTTCCAGCTGCGGAAGTAACAAGATGGCAACCCACTGTATCGACATGTAACATTATTCGGAGAAAACAGAGACTAATTTAGGACGTTGTTGAACAATTTGCCTACCTGTGAAAATTCATTGTAAGTTGCAGTGACCAGTTGGTTGGGTGAGAGTTCCATCTTTATTTTACAACTTGATGTCTTGTGTAATTCGTAATTTGTAACTTGTAATTTTTCTTATAGTGTGGTAGTTGATAATTGCCGAACCAGACCACGTAATTTGGCCGACTATCGGCGAATAAGATGCACATTTGTTGTAGATGGTTAACTTGAGGATTGGAATGTAAAACCTTGGAATGAACATTGTAAAGGAGATTTGACGCACAGAATAACGCAATAACCACTGACCATCGCTTACCTGCAATTGCCGTACCCATGGGGATGAAAACTTAACTTGTGGAAGTTACGTTTTCATTTAAGGAGGGGGCAAGTTCTTGTGTCGGCACCCCTTCTCACCCTTACTTGGACCACATGTTTTTAAACTGGTTAATCTTAATTGTAGTTGCCCCACATCTGGTGTGAAGCTTGGGGTGGCCACTGGAATTTTAATGACGATGCAGTGGTAAGGTTCACTCCCATCTGCGTGCGTTAGCTTCAAAAAGGGCCTCCATGTTGGACTAAACAAAGCATGCATGTGTCTTCCATATATGGGCATGGAATATTTTTGGCCAATCAGAAGCGATAATTTTAGGGCGGTTCCAAGGGCGCACATCATCGTGAGCGTCCCTACGAATTCTATTTGAAGCGCGAGATTATCTCGCGTCGATTCTCTTTTGGGCAACAATTGAAGGCGGAACCTGTGTCGCTGGTGGCCACAATGTGGAACTGCGGTAATTTGCAGCTGGGGTGAGAGGAACCTATTGCCTGTCTGGTGGTGGCGAGTAGGGAGTTGGTTTTGGTTCGGACATTGTACCCGTAATATTATGTAATTATATTAGTAAATTAGCGAAGGGTGTTTTATTGAAGAGTAGAATGTACCACTCCCACACCCAGTGGCGCCCGTCCTTGCAGTCCCATTCCAAGAGGGTTGACCGGTGGCATAACAATGGACTCCTAGAAAGTCCATATTCATTACTGTAAATTACCGAGAAGTCAAACTCAGTCCTTTATCAGTATGTGGGTGAGGAGTTAAATAGCCTCATAGGTTGGTCATTCTGGTATATTCCAGTTCAAAATATGTTGTTCAAGTCAATGATGTGTCTTTTGTAAAGTCCAGCGATGTGATACTGTGCAGTAAAAATGTTATGTTTTTGACAAAGACTGTACACTCCCCTTTCACTACTATTAGGAGTCGGACTAAAACCAGCATCTCAACTCCTTAATAAATATCAGTGGAAGTACAGTAATACAACTTTTAAGTTGGATTCGGAATATGAACAAAGATGTAAGGTTAAAATGTGTGGACATGAGTCTGGAGATCATGTGATGCCAGTTAACAATGGGCTGAAACGAAGTTTTGTCTTAGTAGGATTTGAGGTTTTCACGGCAGTGAGTCTAAAGTTGCCTGTCTTCTAGGATGTTGCACCATGTAGTTTTGTAGAAGTTTACCAACATTTCAAAGATCTTTGCTGCCTCATCATCACTCATTGCCCTGATGATGGAGGCAGTGAGGACCTCTGAAACATCGATAAACTTCTACAAGACTACAAAGCGTAAGACTCCAGAAGACAGACATCTTCAAGGTTATGTCTTCATCAGATTGTTTTGAGTATGTTACAGAGAGAAAACATATTCAAGTACAGATTACCAATAACAAAGCACATATTTACAGGTTAAGAGATTTATTAAGTAAGATTTGAGGTTTTCACAGCAGTGAGTATGAAGATTTCTTTCTTCTGGGTTGTTGCGCTGTGTAGTATGGTGGATGTTTACCAACGTTTCAAAGGTCATACTGCCTCCATCATCAGGGCAATGAATGTGCCAATTGGTTGGGGGGGCACTAGGGGTGTCTAGGTTAATAGGAACCAGACAGTGCATTGAGTAGCCTGCCCTAAGCCAACGGGAGTAGGTGTCAGGTCAGGCGTGGGTGTGGACCTACAGTACACAGATCAGGAGAAAAGCCCTGGTAGGAATACGATATACGCGCAAGATTTCGCTGTGAGTGACTAGCTGCTATTAGCCAACCTAAAAGCATTCGTTCCACAACCACTGAAGGAACAACAGACAAATGAGTCAATGGTGACATTTCTGTCAGTAGGTCTAGGCCGGTGTTTCCCTGGCGTGTAAAGGTGACAGTGTGCCCTTCTCGTCGCTATCTTTTGACTCTCGCCTTACCTTCTTAATTAAAGCTTTAGATACACCCGTGTATTTGGCTGCCCTGTCTGTTGCATGGGTCAAGGGAAATTTCAGCTCTTTCCGTCTTGCTTCCTCATCAAACAGCTTCACTACGCTGGATATTATTTCCCGCGCTTCCCTGTGAATAGTTTTCCCCTGTTTACGTACACTCGACATCTTTAAATCACCTGTGATTGAATATAGAATATTATCACAACACTCACAGAACACAGTACAGACGCACTCACTACAAGCTAATCTCAACTGCTTGATGTTTTCAGTCTGTGTGTATTAGAATAACTCTCTGGCGTGCACACTTCCCACCAATAGCAGCCCTCTAGCCCAGTTGATAAGTAACATTCCCCGCGAACCGCAACAGAAACGACTTCCGCCAGCAGGGTTTTTTCATGAAATGTGGACAGTGTGTTTTTATTGTGACGTGTGCTTTAATTTTTCGTTTTTAAAAGTTGAAGCTTATGTGATCACCTCTTAAAAACATTCTACTAAAACAATTTTTTTTCGTTGCCTTGTTATATTTTAAATTGTTTTCATATTCCAGATTATAATATACATCCTGCAGTTCCTGCCATTGTCAGACAGAATAAGTGCCTCGCAAGTGTGCCATTTGTGGCATAATGCATCAAAATACCTCAAACTGCATAGCAATGAAGCAGTGGTATTTCAATATGACCTCACTAGACCACTAAAAGTCTTCGAAAATAGTCTTGGAACGTTCTGAATTTTGTGTTCAAAGAAGTAGAACTAGGAGGAAACTTAACCAAATTTTGGGATAGATTCTGTCCACAAATGCAGTCTCTTTCCATCGATTGTTGTGATATATCAGAAAAGACCTTTGTAGATATTTTATTAAAGTGCTCACATTTAGAAACTCTCGATGTGAGTTGGTGTTATAAACTTTTAAAGTCAGGAAGGGTTCTGGAGCAGAAATCGGATGTTATTCTGCTTAGTAACACTCTTGTCAAACTTAGGGAGCTAAGACTTGATCTAAATTCATATTTGTCAGATGCCATTTTCAATAGATTTATGGCAATTGCTTCCAATTTGGAAGATGTCATTGACAGGATGTCGGATCTGTTTCAATTTTGAGCTGTGTAAGAAATATTACCCTGGTGACATATTAGAATCTGGCTACATAATGGCATCAAAAAAAGTTCTGACGTTCATTAATATATTACAACACATTCTGTCAAAAGCAGGGAAGATTAGAAAGTTGAGTTTTGGTATCACGGGCATTGATGATGCAGCATTGTCACAACTTGCACAAGTACCACAACTACATCTTGAAAGACTACATCTTCAGTCTTGCCAACAGCTGAACAATGCAAGCATACTTAGACTCACAGAGTACCAACAGAGTCTCTCTGAATTAGATCTAGGTTATTGTTCATGCATTGGTGATGCTCCTCTCATAGCTATCTGTCACAACCTAA